GATGAATAGTAAGATGTTCTAGCTTTACAGAGGGCTTTTTTAAAAATAAAGCTGCAAACTATTTCTCCAGGCTAAATGATGACACCATTTCCTCTGCAGCTTACGAGTTATCTGCTTTAAGGTGCACATTTAAACATTATACCAGAGAGTCAAGTATTTTGGTTTTGAGTCTTCTTTGTCAGAGGAGCTACAGTAGCCAGAGTCATATGGAAGAAGTAAAATTATTAACAAGATGATCGAGCTCTGTGGGAATTGTGTTGCTCTGCACTATGTTAGTACAAGGCATTGAAGAAGATAACAGTGGGTGAATTACAACCTTAAATTTAGTTACAGCACTTTACTGTAATGAAAATCTATTTCCTGCTGTGTAATCCATTATTGTAAATGGAAACAATGAGACAAAAGAGAGCAGTACCTTAAAACACTGACAGCTGCAGAGGTTTTGTCTCTATTGAACATCAAACAAGAAGTGTTGATCTGAAATTTGGTCAGAATGAATCCAAGTGCACCTTTCAGCCATTAATCTGGTTGGACTGTCACACTGACAGCGTAGCATAGGTGGGCTAACATCCAATCTGAGTGCAGATAACAAAGTGTGTACAGTAGTTGTAGTGCTGACCATCCTCGTCCACATCACAGAAAGGCGTGTGATAATAAAAATAACAGCAGCAAGAACATTAGACAAACATTTTAATGGTGGTGAAATTACAGACACAATGATTTCCTGTTTATCTGTAGCGGGTCATGCAAGGCAAATCTATGACACATCTGTTTAACCAACACATTGAATCTAAAACATCAGAGAATGCCACTGCAACCATAAACAAGACATACGATTATTTATTAATTAGCTTGTCGTGTTTTCTTTATAACTCTTCTTCAGTTGTACTGCTGCAGCCCTCACTGTTCAAACCTTTACTTTATTCTCTGTAATGCATAGAATAAAATTGTAGATAAACACATATGTTACTAATTAAAATAATGAAAGTTTTCTTTGGGTAAAGAAATTGTATTAACATGATTAGCAACACCAGTAGAAACAGTGTGCTCTGTATGCTTGATTGAGAAAACCACACTGATTTTATTGTTTAATCACAGCAACAAAAATGTTGTGATATATGTGAGCTGGGTCAAACCATCTCTGAGCTACATAAAAATGTTATGGTAGAAAATGGGAACATTATAATGATTGCTGTGAAATATAAGCTTGATATGTCAAATACCTTTGAAGGTGCATGTATTTTAAAAAATGGTCTGTTAACACAATTTCAGACCTTTCTTTCAAACATTTAACTCTGTGGCAATGTTTGGACAAATTTTTCCTAATTATAACATGGAGGAAAAAGTACCAAAAAAAACAAAAATATCAGTAAACTATCCTTCTAACCTTTCGAATATTTTGTGCTCTGCCATCTCCGAATTTATGGCCCAAAGTTTGAATATACAGTATACAATGATTGCTGTTAATATTATATTATATTATTTTATGCATGAATCTTCCAGTGTGGTAGCCAATTATTCACTTCTAAAAACTTTTGCAAAGTTTTAATATTTTTTAAACTCAAACTTTATTAATTTTCTTTTCACTTTTCTAAAGATTAAACTGTAAACCAATTTTACATTACTTGGCTAATTTCAGTAATTTTTCTTTCACAGGTAATCTGAAGGGAAAAAACGAATAACACTCCGGTACAATTGAGAGTACCTCCACCAATAACAACACGTTGTATAGCAACCTCATGTTCCTATATGTTCAGAATAATGCGAAAAAGTTGTTTTTTCTGCTCCACTGAAAAATCAAAAAAAATAAAATGGCTTCCAATCAGCAACAGGTGGAAGGAGAAACTGAAGAAACTTGTTGAGTCAGATGAAAGTAAAATATCCAGAATCAGCAGCATTATTTATGTGAATGATGCAGAATTCAGAATAGCGAATGGAAGTGATGGCACTGAAGTCTTCTTGGGGCTGAGAAAGGACGGCACAGAAGTTGCCATTAAGAGAATGTCTAAAAGCAACTATGAAGTGCTGAAGAACGAAGAAGGAATCCTACGACTTCCTGAACTCGATCATCATTATTTCGTACGATATGTTGATGCTGCAGAGGACGAGAACTTTGGATATCTTTGTCTGCAACTTTGTGAATACACCTTGGAAGAATATATCAAGAATGAACGTGACCCACTGAAGTTAAAGAAACTTGTCAAACAAATTCTTGAAAGTTTAAAGGTGCTTCACTGTAGAAATCCTCAAATTCTTCACCGAGATCTTAAACCGCAGAATATTTTGATTTGGTGAGACATGTTTGACATTCAGGGGACAAAAAACAAAACAGATGTCTGGTAAATATAAATAAATGATTTCGTTTCATGGGTTTTGTACTTTATGCCTCCTGCAGATGTTACTTGCAGGGCAAGATTAGCTGATTTTGGCATGAGCAGACGCTTACTCAAAGACCAAACAACTTTACGTACACGCAGTGCAGGAACCAGATGCTGGATGGCCCGAGAGACTTTAGCAGAAGAAGCAGAAGAATCTGTGATATCATACAAGTCAAGCACTGACATACAGGTAAAGTCTGAACACAAACTTGATTAACTGAAAAATGGCTTGGTAAACATACCTAAACTGATAATATGTGTTATTATTAAGGATGCAGGCATGCTGATCTATTATATCCTCTCTGGAGGCCACCATCCATTTGGCGACATATCCTGTAAATGTGAGTCTAACATTGATGATGGGAACTACAGTTTGGATCACGTTCAAGATATGGTGGCAAAGGATCTCATCGAGTGGATGATCAACAAAGAGCCAAAGGACAGACCCAAAGTAGACGAATGCTTAAAACATCCCTTCTTCTGGACTTCTGAAAAGTGAGAGTCTTCTTAAGCAATACTCTTTTGTGCTGCTCCTGTTATCATTCAAGATTTTCATCCTGGGTTTTTTTCATACTTATAAATCATCATTTCAACTTTATTTCCAGGCAATTAGAATATTTGAAAAAGATCGGTAACAAGAAGGAGGTGGTAAACTGTCGAAAGGCTGATGAAAAGCTGATTGGTTCACTAGAAGCATGTGCTAATGGATCCTTCAAACTGTGGAAAAATAAGGTGACTTACAGATGAGAGGTCAAACTTATGTATTCCTAAAGTCCAGTTCATGACCACCATGTTTT